TTAATGCATCTCCTTCCAAAAATTGTGAAGTATGTGTATAGTCGCTTAATGCTGTTCCAGACATGGGATTATTATTCTTGTTGTTTGTATATTCCTTTCCTTCTCTTGGTGTGTGCTTGGAGAGTGTTGCTGACGTCTTTTCATTCATCGCACCACCCCCAGTAATATGAGGAGTGTTGGTTGATGGGATTGACTCGGCAGTTTTCTTTCCTACTCCTCCTCTTCCTCCTAATGAGTTCACTTGTCGGGAAATGGATGCAACTCCACGTTGGCCATCTAGTGATTTCTCTGATTGTCCACGGTACAACAAAGGACGCCCAGGATCGCGTCGAGCTTCATCATGCTTATCCACCTCCATTTCCTTATTGCTCTCCCTCTCCCTATTTATTTCCTCTTTTCCCTCTTCTCCCATTTTTTTGTTTTTCTTCTTTTTTTCTTTTGATTCTACATCCTCGTTCTCATGTTTGTCGTGATTTTTAAGAATCGATCAAAAACAGTTTGTTGCACCATATCATTCACTACATCTGCTGCAATCTGTGAGGCTATTACTTTACTTTCTTCAGTAATAGAGTATTGTATTTTATCACTTTGCTCATACAAAACATTAAACCCTTCTTGTAACATACGAAATAGTTCATTTATTTCACTCTGTATAGTATGATGATCATTTCTGAGTTTCATCATTTCATCTTTTACAACAAACAGTCCTTGACAATGCCGGCAAACTCGACGTGGTGCCAAGGTCCAGTACTTCGTATTGTCGGAGGAAGCCTAAGAGCCAACGACGTTTATTCATTTGGAAGACCTGTTGGCTCTTAGGCTACGGCGTTATAAAGCACCGGGTCCAGCCGCGTTGTGTTGGGGCAGAAATATATCCAAGAAGGTCCTGGGGCACGCGTCGACGTACTATCAGCAGTATCACCCGCATCAGGTTGCTGTTCAGTGGTGGTGATGTAGAGGAAAATCCCGGCCTTTCACTGCGAGGTATGCAGTGGAACTCAGCTGGACTTATCCAGGCCAAGAGGCTTGCTATCCAGAAAAACCCTTCTTGAGGAGAATGTGACATTCTGCCTTCTAAGCGAGACGAAACCATCTTCTGCGAAAGTGTCGAGTTTCATAATCGCTGGTTACCAACATCATGGAGTCTCCCACCCCTCTAAAGGAGGCGGCGTTACGATTCTTGTGCGTGAAGATCTGCCAGTAGAAGTAGGACTCACCGTAGTTGCAAGCGTTGGGCATGCCCATTGCAACGATCCACATATCAGAAGGTCTGGCGCTCACAGTGACGTCAGGATACTCTTTCCTCCGGAGAGATACCATACACAACATCGCAACTTGACAAGCTTTTGACGACAAGCGGACCTCACCCCATCGGTGCAGATGCTAATGCGCATGCAATGGCATGGGATTGCGCGATCCCCCCTGATACCCGTGGCGATGTGCTAGTACAATGGTGCCTAGATAATGACTGCGTTATTCACAACACTGGAGATTGCACTCGCCACACCACACGCCATGGCCCGTCCGCGCCAGATGTGACAATATCCCGAGAATGCCGTCTAGAGTCATGGACGGCATTCTTCTCCCTGAACAGCGATCATTACATCATCCTCTTCGACGTAGTAGTGGTAGGAGATGATGATGAACCACTGCGGTTCCCTCGCCCTCGTGCACCCATTTATGCATGTAAGAAGGCGAAATGGTCTCGATTTGGACAAATATCAAACGCACAGTGCAATAAACGCCTTAAAGAGAAACAGAGCGTTCACAAGAGAGAACGCCTACTGACCTCCGCCATCCGTATCGCAACAGCTGCGTCGGTTCCACGCGGGGGTGGAGATACTACTCCTTTTTTGGACTCCAGAATTAGAGGAAATAGAAAAGAAGATTTACAGCTGCAGACCCTCAGTCTCCAGAGACAGACTGGGAGCTCGCAGAAGAGAAATGCTACGACAAGCTTCCCATAGACGCTGGAAAACCCTCTGTAATAACATGGCCGTGGCAGACGGCTGCTTTTGGAACATTTTGAAGAGGATTTACGCCCCGCGACCCCTCAGTACCCCGGCGATAAAGATTAATAATGCGGCACTCACATGCAATCAGAAAGCCAAGCACTTTATCCGTTTATATTCACGAAGAGCTAAACGTCACCCATATTCCTACCCCACAGCACCCATTCCAGTAACCGATACAGAATCCATCCCCATTACAGCAGCAGAACTGGAACGGGCACAGCGTCTCCTTCCTAAAGGGACAGCCGCAGCTCCCGATGGTATCTACGGCGAGGCACTCCAACACTTGGGACCTCGAGCCAAAGCGGAGACTCTTGCCCTCTTCAACGAGAGCCTCCGTACGGTCGTGGTTCCAGTCTCTTGGAAAGTAGGCATCATTGTACCACTCCTTAAACCCAGAAAGAAAGCCACAGATCTAGATTCGTTCAGACCAGTTACCCTCACTAGTTGTCTGTCCAAATTAATGGAGTGGATCATTGCAGCACGAATTAGAGATGTCATTGAGACCAAACTGACCCCACAACAATCTGGATTTAGATCTGGTCACTTTACATTAGACCAACTATCGCACCTACGCGCTGCCCTCACGAGACCCACCCTTGATTCGCGTGCAGGTGCAGTATTCGTCGACTACGCCAAAGCTTTCGATACTGTAGAGCATGATCGAATAGTTAGTGCGATGCGAGAGATGGATATCCCACCGCACATCATTCGTTGGCCAGCATCTTTCCTGAAAGGACGCCAAGCCAAAGTACGAGTAAACAGTAAATCCTCTCCCCCAATGCTTTTCCACCGTGGCGTACCACAAGGAACAGTTCTCGGCCCACTTATGTTCATTACAGTAATGAACACCCTAAGCAAACGACTATCCCAAGTACCCTTATTATTTCATGGTTTGTTCGCCGATGATCTCACACTAGCAGTACGACACGTCAACCGAGACATCATCAACAGTACACTGCAACAAGGACTAAACATAGTGGACGAATGGTCCAAAAACTATTTTATGGAAATCAACGTGGACAAGACGAAATACACACTTTTTGGTACCACCAACCCGCATCCCCTTTCTCTTAAACTACGCGGTATCCCCGTAGGCCCGGAGAAGGCACCTAAACTCTTAGGCATCACTTTTCAAAACTACCGAGGCATGTCTACCCATGTGGGTCCAACGAGACAACGCATGAATTTTCGATTACTACAACTTGCAGCAATCTCCTCCACCACATGGGGATCGAAACGTGATGTCCTTCGAACCTTCTACCTGACACTAGTTCAAGCCCAGATGCTCTAAGGTTTTGAGGTCTGGTATTGGGATGCGGCTCCCACTTCACGCAAACTCCTCGATGCAGGTCAGAACAAAGCTTGCCGAACCATAGCAGGTATCCCATATGGATGTCGCTCCGCCGACGCACTACGTGAAGCCCGTCTTCTCCCATTAGAGATGACGGCCATGATTCGGAGCCTCAAATATTTAATGCGATGTCAAACACGAGGTGGATCTCTCAAAGAAAGCGCAGAACAAGTCTATCACGAAACCCATCCGGTACGAGAATTCTATGTACGCATCATGAAAAACTATCCAACACTTGTTATAGAGCCACGGGAGTCCCCTTTACTGACACCAACTCTACGGTTCGGTAAACGCGCTCGCTTCTTCACATCGCTGGAAAATGTATCAGCTGATGACCCTGAAGAACGGAAAAGAGAAGCATCCGAGCGTTCGATAGCCCGTCACTTCCGCCGTAAAGGCACAGATCCGCCGCCGCGTACCCATTATGAAATCTGGACTGATGGCTCCGTATTTCTCGGAATAAAATCTGGAGCAGCAGCAATGATATACAAAGATGGTGAACTGCTCTGTACCACACATAGAGGCGCTGGCCCCCTAGCCTGCAGCTACACAGCTGAATCCGTAGCGCTATACGAAGGTTTACAGAGACTCCTCAAAATAATTCTTGCAAATAACCAAACGCCATGCAGGGTCTCCATTTTCACGGACTCACTGTCTCTTCTCGCAGCGCTGGAAACAGGCCCACTGACCGTAAAAGACCCATTACTACGACTCCTGTGGAACCTAATACTTCAAGTGCAACGTCGCAAGGCCCGCATACGACTACAATTCATATTTGGTCACTGCGTGGTGGTGAAAAATGAAAAAAGCGACACAGAAGCCAAAAAGGCTGCAGAACTACCACAAAGAACTGATACTTGGATCACAGATATAATGGCCTACGCCAAATGAATACTTAAAGGTGAGGATATTCCTCCTCCCTCCCATATATCAAAAATCACTGGATCCTGGGACCCCACCAAAAATAATCCGGAACTTACTAGAGAAGAAGAAACAGCCTTAGCACGTTTTCGCACAGGTGCTTCGCATCGCTATGGCTGGTTGCTGCGAAAGATACAAACCCATATTCCTCCTGGTTGTCGATGGTGTAATCCCCAAACAAGTCAACACGCCAGCACCCGTTATTCCACCTAGCCAAAAACGACCGCGCTATGCACTAAACAAAGCAACAGACCCCGCCGCCTGCACTGAATGTGGGGCACAATACTCATGCAGGAACACCGCAGTAGTACATATGGTCAAGAAACACATGGGTTCAAGAGAGCCGATGCGCTCTGGAAGATCAAATTCCCCCATGAGCCACCTCCGCCGTACATCCCGCCAGAACCTCCGCCACCCCAGCACATACCCCACCTCCGGCCACAACGTTACCCCGTCCCACTTCGGCCTAAAGCAAAACCACACCCGTTTGCCTGCAGTATGTGTAAACGAACATTTCCGCTTCAAAATGGATTAACGCGCCACCTTAGATACATGCACAATGTCACATGCCCTGTCCCAGAGAGAAAAGGCCCGCGAACCGATGAACTGATACCACCAGAAGGATCGGCATTTCCCTGTGACAAATGTGATATGGTAGCGCGCTCTAAAACAGGTCTCAAATCCCATATTAGAGCACGGCATCCTGAGAACCCCACAAAAACGCACCCAAAGTTCAACTCATTCCCCAACCTGCTTCACTACGATGCGAATTTTGTTTACGTGACTTTGGCAACATTGGTGGTCTCGCCTGCCACAAAAAGTTTAAACATCCACCTGGAACCCCAATTTTGCCAGCAACAATACAAGTAACCTTTCCGCGCAACAAGAAACGCCAGCGAGATACGTCGCCACCGGAACGTGAGAACAGAGAAAAAGTCCAATGCGGAGTATGCCAGAAGTTCTACGCTCACCTAGCCTCCCGCGTAATACACTGCAGAAAATTCCATGATGGACAGGGTATGCCCCAAAAATCGAATTCCACCAATGGGCAATACAAAACAACAAAAACAAGAGACCTTCCGGCATTAGTCTGTCC